AGCCCCACACACCTTCAACTCCTCTCCTTCTCCTGAACAGCCAACTTCCTTCTGAAATGTTGCTTACTCCTTGCAACCACAACATTCATGTTTTCTTGGCCCTCATTCTTTTTGACCCTTCAGAGGCACCTCAAAATTGAACCTGTTTTTCTGTTTCCAACATTTTTCCTTATCATCGTTCCCACCATTGCAAATTCCTTCCCCACTTCTTTCAGATAAACCAAAACTTCTCCAGCGTCATCGTTTTAATTTATCAATTTCCTTCTTTACTCTGCTGTTCATGTCCCTGTTACTCACTTCTTTCCTTTACATCCTCAGGATAGGCAGAACCCTTCTCTGAGCACAAGATGACACACCGTACTCATTTTTTTTTTGGTAGCTTTTTGCTTAAGTATACTTTCCAGACCCGCCCCCCCTTTATCTAAAAGAGAAATTTTATTTTTTAATCCTAAGAAAACAAAAACTCTCTAAAACCTGGTCCCATCCTATAAATTTTAGCTTTGTGATTTTCCTGTTTTCCATTTCATTTCACATATTTTATATTTGTGAGACTTCAGCTTTCAGGCTATACTCTGCCGGTATCTCTTCCTCCCTCCCTCTTTTTCTCTCCTTCCTACCTTCTCTGGGAATTACATTAAGCTAAGTCCATCCACTTGTAATGCTTAACTTTTTTTTCACTTTTTTTTCTTTATTAATTACACTTTATTCACTTTGTACCCTCCTTTGGCTCTCTCCCTCCTCCTGTCCCAATCCCTCCCTTCCTCTGCATGTATGCCCCTCCCCAAGTCCACTGATAGGGGAGGACTTCTTTTCCTTTCTTCTGATCCTAGTCAATTAGGTCTCATCAGGAGTGGCTGCGTTGTCGTTGTCTTCTTCCGTGGCCTGGTAATACTGCTTCCCCCTGGTGGGGGGGGGTAATTAAAGAACAGGCCAATCAGTTCATATCAGAGTGCATCTAAAAATGCTTAACTTTTAATGTTTAATCTCTATTTACTAAAATCCCATTACCTTTTCCTATATCATGTAAAATAAAATTGATTTATTTCTTCTGTGAACTTCTCTAATTTCAATGTTTATCTTCCTCTTTTTGTGGTTACTATTATCTCATGTTCTTTTATTGTAGTGAGCTATGAGCTTACTTTATTGTTCTTAGATTTTAAGATTTTTAAAAGACAGTTATGAAGATAACAACTATAATAATCTTTTATAACAAGTTCCTATCATATTCAATCATGGAACATCACTAACACTGCACCTTATGAGGACTGTCCCCATTATTTTGATATGATTAACTGAAGTCCTCAAGTGCAATTCTTAGGGAAAATCAGATCCAAGAATTGGATGTAGGCATGTCTTCTTTTTGTTTTTGTTTTTCAAGATGGGGTTTCTTTGTGTAGCCTTTGCTGTCCTGGTTTGTAGGCCAGGCTGGCCTCTGCCTCCCTGAAAGCTGGGATTACAGGAATGCACCGCCACACCTGGCCTGGCTTGTATTGTCTGGTTTTAAAGGTTATATTTTTATCTACTATATAGTATTTCTCATCATCTGCAGAACTGGCAGACCACCACTGAATAAAACATGCTCTTTTTGGACTGGAGAGATAGTTTAGGGAGTAAAGTACTTGCTGTACAAATGTGAGCATCTGAGTTCAGCTCTGTATCTCCATGTAAAGACAAGTGTAGTAGCACACATTTGCAACTGTAACACTCCTATAGAGAGATGAGAGGAAAAGAAGTCTTCATGGAAGCTTACAAGCTTACTAGCCTGGATGGCACATACTGGAACAAACAGCAGGGATCAAACAAGGTGGAAGGCAAGGCCTGACACCTAAGGCCATCCTCTAATCTCCACGTGTGCTCCCACAATGATGCCCAGAAACATATATGTAAATATATAAAACACAGAGAGATTTTTTAAAGTTCCTCTTAAGTTCTAACAGGTTAGGATAGTTTACTTAGTTAGATTCCCTAGTTTATGAAGCTGCTTGCATAACATATCTGTTAGAAGAAACAGACAGCTTAGACTTCAACTCTTAAAGAATGAAAACAGAGTAAAGCTTTTATACATCAAGATTAAAAAATGCAAAGAAAAAGAAAGATCTAATTCATCTGGATTAAGTAACAGCATAACTTTTGCCTCTTTCCTTGGAACCATCAAGGCCATCCAAAAGCCTTGCTTAGATAACTTAAACCATATTTAGACAAAGCCTCCAGTAATTCTAATTTCTGAGACTCTGACATCAGTGCTGTGAAAACATGGTAATTGTACTCTGCTGACAGAGTCAAAATCAATGTAAATTTGGGCTTCAGTTTTACAAATGAACAGGTAAAATTATATATGGTGTGCACAGATACTGATGCAAAGAAAATGGCAGCTGTTGCTTTCTATACATAAGCAGCTAAGAACTGTAATCCTCTGAGAGCAATGTCATTATATAGCTCAAATCCCATCACAACAAATACCTTTACAACAGAGATGTCTGTATAACAAAAACCCTTTCAAGCCTTGGCTGACAGCCCACATATTTCAAGCAATATTTGATGTGAGACTTGGAGTTCACGGTAATGGGAATTGACCTGTATTTCCAAAGGTAAGATTTGAATGATTTCAGCTCTAACTCCTATCCCATGATACCAGGAGTCAGAGTGATGTACAACTCAAACCCATGAGTATAAGAACCAGACACAATGGCAGAAATGAAACCATCAGTGTTCTGAAAGGGAGAAATCCCATCTTTTCACTTGGGGAACCCTTAGCTATGAAAATGAAGCCACGAAGTGGAGCAGATGGCACATTTTTTTGTTTTTGTTTTTTTTTTTAATCTCCTCTTACTGAAAGACAAAAGAGTTAAGTGTCTGAAGCCTGATGAGTAACGGCAGTACACACTACTAGCTGAGGAAACTGGACTCCATGTCCTATAGCTTTTTTGAGTCTCAGCATCCCCACCTGTAAAATGTGACTGACACTATCTGCCTTCAGGATTTTGCTAAAGCTGAATGGAACATATATAAACATATATGTTATAAAGATTTCTCAGCAAGGGCCTGATGTGTGATACATGCACCCCAGAGTTCCTTTATATGTTTTCCCTCTCTCTTCAAAAGCTTTGGTTTCATTTCTGCATACTACTTTCATGAAATTAATTAGAAGACAAGGTAAACAGAAGTTAACAAAACATAGTCTCAAATGTAGTCTGGATATGATATTGCTCAAAAGAATGTATGAGTAAGCCATACATAGAATATACGTGACTGTGGAAAAGGACTTTGGGCCAACGTAAGGAACACATATTCAAAAATAAAGAGCATCCAGGCATCATAGTAAAATTTGACTTTTGAGTCTTTTGTCAGAGGCCATTTTGAAAAAGGTCGATCAACCCAGTATCAATGTCCCATTTTCCTCAGTGAGGATGCAATAGGTCTGCTGCTATAGCTACGTTTTCCATCCTGCTCTAGGAAGAACGTTCATTTAAACACTACGTACTCCAAAAACATGCGCTATATTGTCTCTCTTAAGTTGGGTGCTATGAAAAATATTAAAATAAACTCCTAATTTCTTTGTGTGGAAAACATCTAAATATTCACCAAGGTCTCTAATATAATTCTGATTTCTGTGGTTTTACATTTTATTAATTTTAGATACCAGAATTTCTACTTTTCTAATTACAGAGGGTCAAAGTTATAGACACAAAATTATAGTTTCTTTAAACCAACTGTAGAATTACATTGTATGTTTTTTGGGGAGAACCTAGTTTATTAACAAAATCTGAAGGCAGATCTGTCTACTTTTACAAAATGAGTATTGGCTGTTGGCTTTTAAATTTCTTTAAAACAGCCCCAAAGGCCAACAGACACTATAGAGAACAGGAGCTAGCCCAGAACTTCACACAATTACAGAGTATTAGCCTTAAAATTTTTCTTATTCTTTTATCTTTAAAAGGCTCAGAGAAAACTGAGATAAGGTTCACGTGCCTAACTAAAAAGCACGCACAAGCCAGACAATGAACTCCCTCTTATAAGATGCTCATAAAAATAAAACAGGCTGGAAAGAAATAATAAAGCACAGAGAAAAAGGAACTGTGACATCTACAGAAGAAAGAGAAGCCCTGTGAGGAAAGACTGAAAAAAGAATAAAATCTAAAGCAAGAAGGTTAAAACAGTAACGTAAAACAAGTGGTAGCAGCAGAGGAAGCATTTTAAGTGCAGTCTATACAGAGCTTACAATGTAGCAGGACTTAAAAACACAGAAGCAGCAACCAAATTCTTGGCCTCAATTTAATAATTGCAACTTCTATCCCTCACCATTATCTTAAAATGGAGGCAGCAATAAGCACCAGGCTTTTCACTTTGATCTTAGCTCTGCTAAGGGTGTATGCCTTGGGTATTTCTATAGGTGTGTTAACTATCTCACGCCACTAGCCATGGCTCCAGCATACACAGTTCTCTTAATGATCCCTACTGGCCTCCAAGAATGGGCATCTGTCTTCAAAGTGAACCCCTTCTCTGTCCCAGCAGTGGCATCACACCAACAGTTTGCAAGTCATTTTCAAGGTCTCTACAGGCTATGGAAAAGTGCGATACATTTGTAATTATATGAGAAATCATAAGAATGTAGCATAGAAAGAGTTAGCTCCTAAAATACAAGGTTGAGAAACATTATTCCTTACAGGGGCAGCAACTCCACCCAGAGGCCACACTGCTTAGAACATGACCTCATACAAGCAGTCAGGAGACCATAAAATGGGCAGCATTCCTGCCCTCCTTCTTGAGTCCCACCTGTCCCAGCAGGCGGGAGTTCTGGGAGGAGCCCTGAGGCGTAGCCAGAACACCAGGGCTGCCAGCACCAGCTGCTCTCAGCCTGCCCTCCCTTCCTCTTTGTACCCTCCCTCCTGCGTACTGAAGGCTCTGAGAGCTCTGGCCAGCCCTGGAGTACCCATCACAGTCACTGAGCCCACCCTGACACATGACTGACCCCTATCCCATGCGCCACATGCTTTCTGTACCTTTACTCTGGGGAGGGTTCTGACTCCGGTCGCGGAGGACGTTGATCTGGTAGACAGCTCCATAAGGCTCAAAAAGTTCTTTCAGCTCCTTTTCCGACCAGGACCTAGGGATCTGTCCGACAAACATCTTAATGGCATCTGGGTCTGGTTGGTCTGAATGATCCAAAGCTCCGTTCATCTTGTTGGCTGTGCCGTTACTGTCAAAAACGGAACCAGGAGCCAGAGTTAGAGCTTCAGGGTGAAGGACAGGAAGAAAAAAATAGTGGGGGTTGGGGGTGAGGAGGCGGAAAGAGGAAGAGGAGCACAGGGGAAAGTGCCTAATGAGTCGTAGAAATTTGAACTAAAACAAAGCAGAGGCACCATTAGGTTGCTTCTTAGCAGCGGCGTGATGCTTTCACTGCATGCTGCTGCTGTTCAGCATTGACTCTGGAGCACAGGGCAGTGCCTGGACGCCTGTCACCCAGGGCATGGACAGCTCAGAACCCAGGCTTGGGAAGCAGCTGCAAGTTAAGTGCAGGTCTCAATTGGCAAGGCTGCCATCAACACATCACAAATCGGCAGCATTATCAGCTCTGCTCTGGTTATCGCTGGGAAAGAAAGGCAGAGCTGGATTTCTCACCCTCTCCCCCATTCCCCGCCCTTTTTCAGAGGTTTTGGAAGAGAGGTGGTAATAATAAAGTCACATGGAAAGAAAATGAAACACTTGGCAGTCCATCAGATGACTAATGCAAGATGCTGGTGATGAATTTGCAGAGTGTGAGAGGCATCCATGTGTGCATCAAATTAGTACGATGTTGCTGCTCAGAATGGAAAGCGCTCCAGCTATGCAGCTCGGTGCAGCTGATTGGCTGCTTGCACTGAAGAAAAGGGCCAGAGCTTGGGGGGGGGGCTCCCCTTTAAAAAGCACATTGTTTATGGGACCTAAGCACAAAGGGCTTAATTCAGAGAGGCAAAAGTGATCTCAGAATTGCTTGCTTTGTGTTGGGAAAAAAATACACCAGAGAAAGTTGAGTTCCCACTAAAGAACACTGAATATTTCAAATCCTTCACACTCCATAAATTGCTCTCTGTATATCTGACTTCCAGATGTTGCACTTAAGTTCTAAACAATCACACGTTTGGGAAAGAGAAAAAAAAAGTCTGCTTTTTCTTCTGCTAGCTTCAGTAAATATTTGGGGCGGATACAAAGAACTAAAGCATCTTTTAAATGTCTTTCTTCCTATCATTTTCCAGACCCACATTTGGGAGAGAAAATTTGTTTCAAGCCTTATGATGAAGAAGTCATTCCTTTTTACCTTGGACAACCCCTTTGAACTAGAATAACAAAGCAAACTAAAAAACCTTTTCCTCATAACGTCCATCCAAAACATTGTATACCCCAGCTCCTCCATAAAAGAAGACTAAATGCTTTTAAATGTGTGCTTTTGTAGTGGAGTACTCTTAGTTCAGTTACTCAGTCTGTGAAAATACAAAACACCTGACCAAATACAAAGCCAAGCCTAGTACCTACAGACCTGCAGGCAATCACATCATGACATAAGCAGGACATAAGCAGGTCAGAAAGACAATACATTGAACTGCAAATGGCAGGTGTGGTTTCACTGTAGCCTCAGAGAAATACCAAAACTGTACTGGAAAAAGATCATAAGCAGAGTTCCTTATTCTGTTACAAGAAACATACAAACAGAAAGAACACTTTAAAGTTGCTGCAGGTCTAGACTCAATAGACTGGAGCCATGTATACACACACACACACACACACACACACACACACACACACACACACAAACACACACACACACCTAAAAGCCAAGAGCTTGTAGAATGAAAAAAAACAAAAACAAAAAAAAAAACCAACTCAATTCAGATTTAATCCAGAGAGCAAATGATGTCAGATATTCTTCCCTTAGTTTGTTTCAATTTCTACTATCTCTACTTCCCTATTTTACCACTTTTTTAAATCTTTAAAGTAAACAACCAGACTGTCTAATATGAAGTATTTTAAGAGCATTCTCTAATCAACCTTATTGTTATAAAAATGTTCTAATGAGTAAAATATTGAATACGAAATCTTTTTTAAACAATTCAGGCATAATGCAATGCTTATGTTAGAGCTAGATCATTTATCTTGTTCTCATGCACTTATCTTATTTCCTATCACTGAGAATTCAATAAGCAGTTTAGCCTGTGTAGCTATGCTGGCACAGAGTGGAGGTGGCACACTTCTCTGCTGTAGAGTATATAGTGTTTATAGCACTTTGAAAGCTGAGAGTGTGGCAAGACTTTGGGACAGGAAGGACTTGTGGTTACTGCTGTTGATAACCAGCAAGATGCAAAGAGGAAGGTACTGCCACAGTCTAAGCTAGCAGAAAGCAGAAGTTGGACGATGATTAATATGATGTAAGAGTTAGGCTCAATACACTGCCTCACAGCTAACCTTAGAGTTCTGAAGCAAGCACTCACTAATGTTCTCATTTCAAAGGAATATTCCTTTTATGCTTTTCCAAACAACAAAAACTCAGTGAGTCAAAAAAGGAGGAGGGTTGCAAAGAGGGATGAATGTTTACCTCTCTGGTCCTTACATGGTAGAAAGTGCTTATTTAGCATCTCTTCCAGTCAGCTGTCCCTCCTAGACACCGTGGAACCTCTTATCATTCAAAGCGCATGCAGAGAAGTGGCAAAATGTTTGGCCTCAGTATCCTGACATCATCACTTTCTAACTGTACTACTCTGAGCTTCAGATCCTTCATCTATAAAATGGCTACAACAGATTCTGCCTCATATAGTCACATGGCCCAGAATAAGTGTTCTATAAATGTCTGCTCTCTCACTGTGTGCACTCCCTTTTTACAGCTGAGAAGAGTAAACACCATAAACTTATTTTTAGTTACAATTTCTTTCGGTATAAATCCAAACATGACTCATATCCTTCGTAATAATAGTATCTTATATATACCAATACTATGTTATGTACCTTACGTTTTTGTATTTTTTATTGGTCTTGGGTTTTTGTTTGTATGTTTGTTTTTCACAGTTTCACTTTGTAGACATGAATGGCTGACCTGAACTGGCTATATAGAACAGCCTGGCCTTGAACTCACAGACATCTGCTTGCCTCTGCCTAGCAAGAGCTAGAATTCCATGGGTGAGCCACGACGTTTGGCAGTGCTTTACATTTTCAATCCTCAGGACAAAGGACATTTTTAATCCCTATGACAAAGTAGTATTTTCAAATGCCAACATCTGAGAAATAAATTCCCTTCCTAAGGTTACCAGACTATAAACTACAGTTAGAATCCAAATCCAGGCCCCAAAGTACGAAGTATTTCTAATCCACCATGTGGGGTTAAATGTGTGCAGTCTGGCTGGAATGGAGTGCAGACAACTCATAATAAGTCAAGGGAAAGACAAATTCCAGAGTAAGTCCTACTGGGTCTCTAGATTCGCTCTCCCAAACTTAAAAACAATAACAACAACGCAATGCTGGAAAGGCTTACAAACACCACTCTTCTTTCTATCTGTGGGAAACATGCTACAAGACATGCAACTTGGGAGCCTGTAAGGCTGCTCTGAAACCCACATCTTCTCACTCGTCACGTAAGATCATCGTCTGTCCAGATCCTTTCTTTTCTATCCCACAGAGTCACTCTGATGAGTGGCTGTCACACATTTTTATTTACAGCCTTTCTTGTCTGCCATTTTGAAAATGAGCTTTTGTACCCACTGTGAAGTATATAACTTCTGTCTGGAAGGAAATCCAGTCATATCTAGTATAAGTTAAAACCACCACCAAACACTCCCAATCAAAAAAAATGTATTTGGGATAGAGACTCATATCACGGTGACTCTCTTATTGTTACTGCATCTTGATGGATCCAACAATTTTGTTAACTTTGTTTTAATATACCTAAACTTTTCCTTTGGACTCTGAATTTTTGTTTGGGCTGAAGCTCATTTCTCTTGGAAGTCTAATGACTTCTGTTCTCTTGTGGCTCTTGGTATGGTCTTCTGAGTAAGCCAAAGATTGTGTGCTAATTAGGTTTTAAGTTAAGATTTTGAAGGTTCTTGCCAGAGGCAATAGATGGCTAAGGTACTATACATAGAAAATTATAGATAGATATATCCCAATCTCAGTGAAATCCTCTACTAAGATCTTTGTCAAAGAGACTTTGATTGACTTAGAAAATTACCACTAGCTTTTTTCCCCCTTTACTCCCTACCTTCCTTGGAACACAGGGTAGTGCTTTTTATAGTGTAGAAATTTAGATACAAATCCAAATAATATTAATAGAGGGCCTACCCTTTGCCAGAAAGCTTTGCCAACTATTTGACACACAATATCAGAATAGCTCCAGTTGGAATCATCTTCATTTTAGAAATGAAGCAAATGAGAGCCACAGTGGTAATGTGCCTTTTCCAATGTAATATCTGCAAGGAATAATGACTGTAAACTATGGATACAGTATGACTTAAAAGCTTATTGTCTTCACTTCTGGTTCCATGAACTAGACTTCTTTGGAGAAACCCCAAGGTGTGTTTCACAAGGAGTCTGTGACCACTTGAAGACCTTGGACATAGATATATACATCTGTGGGCACCTTGCCTGAAAACTTCAACAAGACCCTGAATACCAATTTTGCTTTTGCCTTTGGCAAAGAACCTATTCCAAGACTCCTCTAGGACAGGTGCCAAATGGAATGGGAACATAAGTCAGAGAGCATGAAGCCAGGGGACAATGCTGGTATGAGTCTTAGAGCCAAGATGAAAACCTAATGATGTTGGGAGGGAGGTGAGAGTGCTTACATTTTGGTTTTAGCACTGCATTGACCTACTTCCCTACTCTATTTTCTAGTAAAAAGAAATCAGATCAACAGAAAATATGCAAAACTGTCTGTGGTTCCTATGAAAAAGCAGAATATCATTAAATATAATCAGTTCAATGTATTATTATTATTAACTTCAGGAAAATGTTTTATAAGGCCTAAAAATTTTCAAGTTTCCTTTTTAAGACTGGAAACAAGAAAAACAGATTTCTGATTTTGAATCTTTTCTTGGGTAATGTTCGTTTATTTATATAAAGCAAGAGCAACAAATTTACGAAATGGCTGTGATAAATTCCAAGTGCCAATAAATACCCATATTAATGTACTAAATAAAAAATGCTATGTAAAAAGATACTGTCTCTGAATACCTTTGC